AAAGATTTATTGCACACATTGCATGAAAAGGACTTTTCTCCATAATGAACAAGATAGTGACGATTCAAGCTATTTCTTTTTGAAAATGTTTCCGCACACACAGTACATGAATAAGGTTTTTCTCCAGTATGAGAAAGATAATGCTGAATTAAATGAGTTTTTAATTTGAATGATTTGTCACACATACTACATGCAAAAGATTTTTCGCCATAATGAACAAGATAGTGACGATTTAAATTATTTCGCTTTGCAAAAGTTTTATCACATACATTGCATGAAAAGGGTTTTTCTCCAGTATGAACAAGATGGTGCTGAATTAAAGTAGTTTTAGCCTTGAAAGATTTGTCACACACGTTACAAGAAAAAGATTTCTCCCAATTATGAACAAGAGAGTGACGATTTAAACTATTTTTCTTTGAGAATGTTTTGTCACACACACAACATGAGTAAGATTTCTCTCCATTATGAGCAATAGAATGTTTATTAAAATTATCTTTCTCAGTGAATATTTTTTTACATACATTACAAGAAAATAGTTTCTCATCATTGTGAATGGCTAAATGTCTAATTAAATTACCTCTCTGCGCGAATTTTTTATCACACATATTGCATGAGAATGGCTTCTCTCCGGAATGAATAAGATTGTGTGCATTTAATGCAGCTTTCTCGATGAATGTTTTATTACATATACCACATGAGAATGGCTTTTCTCCCGTATGAATGCGATTGTGTCTATTTAAACTACCTTTCTGTGTAAATATTTTATTACACACACTACATGAATAAGACATCACTCTCATATGTACACAGGACAGTCGTTATTTAATTTGCTATTGTGAGAGTTTTTACATGGTTATTCAAAGGATATTTCCATATCGTGATTATTTAAACCGACTCACTGGGATTTTTACACATTACTTAAAAAATATTATCTTGTAGATTTCTTTTAATTACTTCCGAAAAAACTAATTTCTTAAATTTATTTAAATCATAGATACCAGCCTAACAAAAATAGACGAACGACAGAAAATATGAAAAAAGAACTTTGTTTTTTATTGATACTTTGAAAAGCTTTAGGCTGCTTATTTCTGTACGTAAAAGATACTTGTCTTAATTGATCGTGCTTATTACTGAAATTTGATACAGATGGCGCTACGCTACGATGACAGAAGTATTCTAACAGAATGTGTTACACAATAAACAGAGTGAGTTGGTGGTAACGTAGATCATGACGTCAATTATCATCCTCTATTTTTAAACAATGTTGTCTTGATTTAAATCTTTAATATGACTGTTCCCGTAAAACATAAAGTGCCATATTTTTTGTTAAATTTCTTTTAACCAAATAGTTCAATCAACTATCTTAATGAGTTGATTTGGATTGAAAATAATCGATTTGATGCATCCGAAAAAAATGAAGGATTGGTAATAAGTTTCGTTTATGAAAGATACTTTCGACTTTTATAGAATTACGATTTTTCTGTTTATTATCATTTGATTCGATCATATTTAATTAAAAGATAAATATTTTGTAGTAATATTGTCATTGTTCTTAATACAATCATAAATTAAAATATGTATTTTATTTGTCAATTTTAAATCATTTCTAACTTTGCAGAAATAATTTACTTATTTGTAATAAGAAGAATTTTTTAATGCAATTAGCAAGTTTTAATGCTAGGTCGTAATACCTTTTTTAAGATATCTAATACTGTACCAGGTAGACCCCAAAATAACCACTTGCCACCCGCCATATGGCGTGTCTACAAAAAAGTGGCGATTTAAATTAAATAAACAACTGGTCACTCTTTCCACCTTTTTTCTGAAAATTGTTTAAAGATAAAAGTACATCAATGCAGGAAGAGACACTGGAAAACAAAATTTTCTCTAAGTTGACCAATATCTCCTTTCAAATTTTTGTTCATTCGGAATCCATCAGTTTGTGGTGGAAGGATTTATATACTAAAAGGAGAGTTTTTTTTAACAATTCATATTAAAAGTATTTTGTCACCCCAAATAATTTTAAATAAAGTTTCTTAATGTCAATGTGTTTAACCAAATTTTGTCATATATTTATATTATTTCCATTTTTAATATTCGTAGATCATTTCTAATATTAATATTTCTTTTTAAAAAAATTTGTATAATTTAATGAAAGAAAAAAAATTTCCCAAAAATGTAGTTTAAATAAAAGAGACCTATCGATATCAGTCACCGATCTTGTATTCGCGATCGCAACGAACTATAGGGGGCGTTGTTGTATGAGACGCACCTGCGATTTCTATATGAACCGTCATTCAGTTACTCTGGAGACGTAAAAGAAAAATGTTTGATATCCTTTCTTATACAACCGAAAACAAGATGGTATCTCTTTTTTTTTAAAGAAGGAACATCCAAAACACATCTGAAAAATATTTGTAAATAAACAGAAAAAAATATGTATCTTCTTATTAGAGTTAAAACCTAATGCCTGAGAAATAGTTTTACTAAATTTAATGATATAACCTGAAAGGCCTATTTAAACTTTACATTCCATAGTTTTAAGAATCATATTACTTCAAACATTAAAATAAGCAAAAAGCATACATAAGCTTCATAATTTTATGTAATTTAATTTTGTAAATAAAGTTATTTGACAAGTGATTTTATCAAAAAATTTTAAGTTTTAATAAAAATCATTATTCAGATACTGAAAAATTTAAAGTAAAGAATGCTTACGATACAAAAAAAAAAAAAAAATAANAAAAAAAAAAAAAAAAACAATTCTAAAAATTCCTTATATTAAAATAAACAACTTTAATATTTTTTTCTTTTTTGATTCATAATCGGACGTAGCAAACCATTCTATAGAAAACTATCATCAAGAAAAAAACTGCTTAAAAGTAAATTTTTTTATTTTATAGA